GTGGCAATGCCAGGGTGTCTTTTGGCAATATAGTCACCCAGGTCTCTCAGCCAGGGGGGCTGAGCAGTTCCAGAAAGTGCAAATGTTGACTGGGAAAGAGCTGGCTTTGCAGTTCTTCCCAGGTTTTCTGGATTTGGCATGGGTTCCTGGAACTGGGAGATTTCAAAGAGCATTGGGAGGGATGAAATCTCCATTCCTGGGTCCAGGCTTTAGGGGTAACCAGCACTGAAAGATTGTGCACCTGGGCACAGCCCTTATGAGAAGAATGCTGGCTCATGTTCAGGGCCCCCACCTGTGAGTCAGCAGAACTCCACCCAGGAGTCAGAGTGGAGGCCAGTGCAGCATGGAGCTGCGGGGTTGTGAAACCTATTGTGCAGGTTAGCACAAGACCATCTGGAGGAACAGACAGTGGCCTGAGGCCGGAGCAGCAGTGCTGTGAATGAAAGCCAGGAGGTTGGATGTGCCTGTATTTCTGGGATAAAGAACCCCTGCGAGGGTAATCACATAGTTTTGTGAATGTTCATTTAATAAAAGTGGGCAAGGAAGCCCTTAAAAGAAGTCATAAGCAAGTGGATGCGTCCTTAATGCGCTACCATTGGAAGCTAAATCTCACATATATATATACAAACACATTTGACATTGCTTCCATTTGTACAGAACAAACTTTCTGAAAAATGTATAGGGCGAATGGCTCTGTGATTTGCTTTCAAATAAGCCCCTTTGTCTTTAAAGAGTGCTGGTAATTTTTTCTTTAGATTTACTCTGTGCCACCATTGGCTGTGCACCCTTCTACATGGAATTTGGGTAGTAGTGCAGGACAGGATGTTGGATCTTAGTTACTTAGGCTGTGACTGTCACCAGCACTGCCAAAATGTTTATGCTACCCTTTCTTGATTCACGTAGGCTATAAATACCTGATGGAGGCCCTGGTCTAACCCTTCTATCCAAAGTGAAATAAGTCAACTGAGGTTCAATAGTGAGAGAAATGTTTCTCTTTCACGATTGTATCGTTACATGTATGGCCAGCATTAGCAATGGCCAAGGTACATCAGTTCCAGAGAAGGGGAAAGTCCTCCCCACTATCAAAAAGATATAGGAAGAATCTCACAGGTTGGGCTTGTGGGACGTGTACTGTCTCATTTATATTTTACAAACTTGTGTCGCTTCAGGAGGTGTCATGACCTTAACGCAGTCCTAATTAGTATAAGTGGTGGTAAGACTTGTTCCGTGCCTGGAACTATGCTGGATCTAGTTTTAGATCTGCATTGTACTGCCATGTCATCAGACACCATCCTGTGTGATCATTCCTAAGCTGCACAATGTAGACTGACAGGTCTGCCCGCTCTCAGGATCATACTACATGACCGCATATCCTCATAGCCCCAAACAAATACAATCCGTTCCACACCACAGAAAAATATTCACACGTGCCACAGCATACCTACATCAAGGACTATGTGTGCTACAGGTGCTCTGCACCTACAGACGGATAATGAAATCTGCCAAAAGCCTAAGGAGGCATGACAGAGTCTGTCCGCCCTTAACTGCTATTTCTGTGGATGACGTAGAAGTAAACCCCCTGACAGGTTCTATTATTTCTTGGTAACCCTGTTGGAGATATTACTGAGATCAGTTCCAGGGCATGCATGCCTGCTGTGGCCATTATGAAGGGTTCCCACCATCCTTGATGGATTTTTATTTTATATTATGGGGTATGTATCAAGAGGAGCTGGAACACACAAAACTCCCAGGTGGACATGAAGAGAGCATTAATGGAATTCAAGAGTGTGTTCACCTTTTCACAAAAAATGAGAAGTTAAACTAACTTGCACTGTCCTCCGTCATCCCCACCCCCTGGTTCCCACTCCACTTGGTTGCTTAAATTACATACTTTGCCACCGGTGTAATGTGCCCGCACACTTCAAAACTTCACTACACAGCACCAGAGTCTGTGTAGCATCATGATGCTGCCAATGGTGAGCGGTCATCGATCACGTGATTGTGCTGACCAATGAGAAGCTCTACTGAGCTTTCTTTCTTCTGGGATGGCATCCCAGAAGTACCGTGTTTCCCCGAAAATAAGACACTGTCTTATATTTTTTTAGCCCCCAAAACCCACACTAGGTCTTATTTTCAGGGGATGTCTTATTTTTTTTTTTTTAATGTGCAACAATCTAAAGTTATCTGGTATTACTCTGCCTGTCACAGTAACTGGCGCTCTAGCGGAATATCGGCTAATGCGGCTCTGCTCTCTCCGCCGCCGCAGCCTTGCTTTCTACAGCGCTGGCTTCCTTTGCCACCAGGGACAGCGGTACCAGCTGTGCAGCAGTGGGGACATCAGACAGTGGACAGCATGGTAAAGTACGGTACCATTTACCGGTACACATTACAGTACAGTACCATTACATTAAGCAGTGCCTTCAGGGGGACTGCAGTTGGTGAAGTATGGTAGTGGAGTGCTCCCTGTCACTGCGCTGGCCAGAGGGAGTCCCGTCATCCCCTTAATACAGTATGTCACTGCAGGCTGATACCATCTCTCCTGCAAGTTCCCCAGTTCACATGCTACCACCAAACTAGGTCTTATTTTCGGGGTAGGTCTTATATTACAGGAATCTTGAAAAATAGTGCTAGGTCTAACTTTCGGGGTAGGTCTTATTTTCGGGGAAACAGGGTAAGAAGAGGTAAGAAGAGATCCATGTCAATGCAGTCACGTGGCTGTGCTAACCAATGACCGCTCCCCGTTGCCAGCACTATGATGCTACACAGCATTCTGAAGTGTGTGGCCCCTTACACCAACTGGTGTGGGCAGCAAAATATTCAAAGAAATGATGGGAAATCTATCCAATGAGGACACAGACATAAACGAAAACTTATCCTTAGTAGAATGGGGACGGGTTAAAACTTCTGATGATCTTTTTATTGCTGTCTGTACCTTTCTGTCCCAGTGACAACTGCTCTCCCCATTTCTTGTACAGATGTCACATGAATAGAGATTGGGATTGAAATGGGTTTAAATTGTTTTATAGATAATATGTATATATAGTAATATATACATGTGCTACCCCGTTGGCTGACATTGACATTGCAACTATCCATTTGGATAAATATAGTGTATCTTTTGTTTTGGATAAAGTGGAGGAAGGGTTATAGCCTCTGTCAAGTTTGTATTGCTGTTTGTGTGCCCATCGGGGAGATTTACCACTCTATATGTACCGTACTGGTGACCATTGTCACCAGAAAAAAGTCAGGGGGATTCCTAAATTTTAGAGTGGTCCTCAGAACAAGAGCTGAGGGAAAATCTTTTAATAGGGACCCCTGTTCCGGGGTAAAAGTTTTTTTAATTAAAATAAAATAAAAAAAATCTAATAATAATAAAAAAAATTTAAAAGTCCCCCGCCCCCGTGAGCGTCGCCACGTAAACACGCTTCGTGTGCGCCCACGTATGAAAACGACGAATGCGCTACACGTTGGGTATCGCCGCGCACGCCGGAGTGAGAGCAATAATTCTAGGGCCAGTATTTTGGGGTATCTCTAAATTGATGACCTGTGGGGGCTTTTAAAGCGTCTTCTATGGACTTTTTGGGGTACTGCAGTTTTTCGCTTTTTCACGGACGCACGCAATTTGTAACCTAGGCATGTTGGGTATCATTTTACTCGTTGTAACCTCATCTTTTATATTTAATTTACAAAATGGGTATTTGGTTGTGTTTTGGGGCATTTAACTAAATTTGTCACTAAATGTTGGGGTTTAATAAGGAGTTGCGCTATTATTGCGCAACATAAAAATGTTCAACTACCACCATTATATTGTATAGGGTCTTGGCATTCAGAAAATATATAATGTTTGGGGGTTTTAAGTCATTTTCAGGCCTAAAATGTGGAATATAACATGGGTGCAAAAAAAGAAAAAAAGGCCTCAGTCATGAAGGGGTTAAGAAGGAAATTCCACTCACTTTGGGAGATTTCTTCCAACGTACTGTTGCATCTCTGAGAATTTCCTGAAAGGTACACAGACAGCAAAAAAATCACCTGGCAGGGGTTTTGCCTATCCCCTACTCTAACAAAAACAAAAGAGTTTGAGCTATCCATACACTTTAACAATGAGGATATTACGATGGTATAGAAGCATGTACCTAGCTATGTTTTCTTTTTCGGACAAAGGTCTACAGAGTGCATATGACTTCATGTAATGTGAAGCGTTTTTGCAGGAATGACAGACTGCAGGTTTTTACATTCATGTCATGATACACAGAAGTGACTTGTGATAAACATTACTGGGAAACAATAGTAGCCACCCTCCAGAAGGAAGGACAGTGTCAGCACCAATTCAGAGATGATTTGAGGATCTACAGCCGAGTGATACAGAAATAAGATAAATCTTTGTTAATAGTTAAGGTACTTCAATGTATTTTTCAATGTATGTGTAGTGTCACTTAATTAATGTTGGCTTGTATCCTGTTCTGATTGTTCTTACTCCTTCCAAAGTGTTTTTTTAAGATGCACAGAGCTTTAACCCCTTCTCGTCTGCAATCTGTATATCAACGATCCCCAACACAATGCTCCGTGATGAGGATACGTTAAAGTGACACTCAGGAGTAAACCTTCAAAATGTATTGAAGTACCCTATTAACAAAAATGTATCTTATGTATCCTATTTGTGCATCGCTATGTATCTTATTTGTGCATCACTCTGTGGTATCACTGTGGATCCTCTGATCATCCCTGAATTGGTGCTGACACTGTCCTTACTTCTGGAGGGTGGCTACTTTTGTACCCCATGGTCCCTGTGTGTGTTGTAAAGTAGTCACCGCTCCAAGCTCGCTCCCATAATGGACTACAATCTCAATACAAATTAGTAAAATAAACAAGGCATTGTAGTCCATCACGGGATGGTTTAACTCCTGAGTTTAGTGGCACTTTAAAATACCTTCTCCTCTTTGGGAACCAGCAGCCAACAAGTAATTTGGCTGCTGGTTCTCAATACTGGTTGTCAGTTACAGCTGGATCAGTACTGAGTATTGGGAACGAATCATAATGGTCTCCAATCATGCAATCATTTTGACCTAGTAATCATATGCAGGCTTAGGGCTCCACTGACAAAAATAAACACCTCTAGTCATCTGCAGTGCCATCTATGTAAGGCCCCATTCACACTTGCCATACGTGGGACATATTGCCACGCTTCCCAAACATCAGCATTGGGCACGCCATTCATTGACGCGTGCCACACTTCTGCATCTGCGGTGCCATCAACAAATAATGGTACCACCAGCGTACGTTTCATGGATGTGCAATTTTGGTGTTGCAGTTGTGATAGGGGCTAAAATATAGTTCAAATGCCAGATACAGTTGCACTAATAAAAATAATAATTTAACAATTACACATTTTTTATTTTAATTTGCATTTTTGCAGATTTGTCAGCCTATAAAAAAACAGATCAGGGTGTTTTTTTTTAATGAAAATAGTGTACCAAATAACCTCATATGTCCTTAAAAATATGCATAGAAATATGTGGTATGTAACTTAGTCATAGAGTTATAGTTAAAAGACTCATGTTGATGCTGCTAAATTTGGCAAGCGCGTCTACAAGCTCCTCTGAACTGTTCTGGATAGTCCTTGTGCCAATAAGTGGTCCCTCTAGCTGGGAACATGGCATTAGATACTCAGGAACAGAGGAACCTGGACCCGAAACTTTTATCAATATAGTCGGCATTGACATGGCTTTGTTGACAAAGGTTAACTGTTATCATTAGGATTTTTTTAGGGATGCACCAATACTGGTTTTGCCTGTGAAGCCCATATTCTATCGAAAGAACACCAGCTTCATGCTTCCTCAATGGCACTAGGCAGCGTGAAGGTGGCTTCCTAGCCACTCAGGAAGCCAGGCAGGGAGTCATGACCGCCTGTCCGGCTTCCTGATTGGCTTGGAAGCCGGCTCCATGCTCCCTTGTGGCACTGCCAGTCAGAGGAAATCTCCTTCTGACCAGAAGTTCAAGTATCGGGGTAAGTATTGGAGAATTTGGGCGAGTACTCACCCAAATGCTTAGTATAGGCACTAATACCGATACCAGTATCGGTGCATCCCTACTTTTCATTAATAACATGTCACCGGAAATAGTGTCCACATTGAAAGAGTTCCTCTCCCCTGTTCTGTTCACCACTATAAAATTCTGGAAAGTTGCCAACGCAAATACTCCAAACAAAACTCAAAAAAGGTTGGCTTAGATACCCCTTTGCTGTAGAAGCTACTGACTACCTGTGTTTACTTCTCTGGCAAAGCACAACATAAGTTATTTGCCATCCTCTGCTGTATTTGTAGAGGGGTGCGCTGCAAAAACAAGCATGTCACAGCCAATGAAGTGGATATAAATGACAGGCAATGTTTAGTATGCACAATACATAACATCTCATCAGATTTAGGTAGTACTTCCTTCTCATTGCTTAGCTTCCAGCTCCCATACTGGTGTATGATTCTGTGAGATTACAGGAAGTCAGTTATGCATTAGAAATATTTTCCTGCTTCATCACTTGCTTTTGAAATATAGGCACATCCGAAAAATTCTTACAAATGTAGCATAATCATTAAAGGTACACTCTTTTAAAATGGACACTTTAACCTGCTCAATGGATGTCACATAACCTTAGGAATGAGTAACTCTAAATTTCATTCTGGTATTCTTGTGCCGTCATGCCCTGACCTGTCAAGGCATGAACTCCACTAGACCTCTGAAGGTATGCTGTGTTATATGGCACCAAGTCATCAATGTTTAGGTAGGTGGTATGTGTCAACGTAACATGCACATGAATGGCAGTACCCAAGATTTCCCAGCAGAACATTACCCAAAGCATCACACTGCCTCCGCTGGCTAGAATTCTTCCCACAGTGCATCCGGGTGCCATCTGTTCCCCAGGTAAGTGACACGCACCCGGCCATCCACATGATGTAAAGGAAAACATGATTCATCAGACCAGGCCACCTTCTGCCATTGCTCCGTGGTCCAGTTTTGTGCCCATTGTAGGCGCTTGTGGCGATGGACACAGGTCAGCATGGGCACCCAGCTCCATATGCAACAACCTGCGATGCACTGTGTGTTCAGTCACCTTTCTATCGGAAACCAGCATGAACTTTTTCAGCATTTTGATCTCCAGTAGCTCTTCTTTGGCCCTTGTCAGATTTCAAATCCTTATGCTTGCCCATTTTTTCTACTTCCATCACATCAAAAGTGACAAAATATTCACTTGCTGCCTCATCTATCCCACCCACTTCCAGGTGCCATTGTAGAGTTAATCAATGTTATTCCCTTCACCTGTCAGAGGTCATAATGTTATGGCTAATCAGTGTATATCTAGATTCTGGCACAGTGGATTACAGAGAACTCGGATAAAGATAATTTACCAATCATTCTAATTTTAGCAGAGTTGCAGTGTTTGCCGATTACCACTAGAAGCTCACTTATGGGCTTTACATGTGCTCTGGAATTCCATTAAAGTGATACAGTTTGGAGGCAAATTACGTTAAAAACCATAGCAAATGTATCAGTTTTATATTAAAATGTTTTTAAATTTCACAGTGCTCCCTTTCCATTTTATGCTGTGTGTTTAAATGACCCTTCTACAAGCAGAACTCACAGGCATGCAGTATATATGGTTCTCCTTTGCCCTCTAGTGGTGCAGTTTATATATAACCAAGACAAGATCATCTATCTATGCTGCCCCTGCCCCAAGGCTGGGTTCCTCAATGCGCCCCCTCCCTGCCAATCCCTGGCGGCAGGGTTGTTTTTAATTTTTGAAACTTTACATTTTTTAGATTTTTATTTTTCATTATTTCTTATTATCTTTTACTTTTTATCATTTTTTCCTTTTTTTTATTTATCTTTCTATCTTTTACTTTTTTATTTTTTTTACTTTTTATCACTTTAATTTTTTATTTTTTTATTGTAATTATTATTTCTTATTATCTTTTCCTTTTTTAACTTTTGTTTTATTATTTTAAACTTTTTATCATTTTTATTTTATTTTTTCCACTTAAAGTGACATTAAAGTCATTTTTTTTTCCCCTTCCCCCAATGTTAAGTAAAACACTTACCTTAAATGATGTCTCCTAATCCGATCTTCCTCTGTCCTGTCCTTTTCAGCCTTCTCTCCAGAGCTGAGTCCTCTATGCTTGCTGGCACTTCCTGTCCCACGGTGTCTGCATGCGGGTGCACGCGTCCATAGACTTACCTTGCGTCTCTCCTCGTCTCCCGGCCGAAAATCCGAACTGCGCATGTGCCCACCCCAAGATGCTTTGCGGCCGCCCGAGCAGTTTCGGATTTTTGGACGGGAGCACACAGCGAAGACAGCGGTAAGTTTAAACCGCTTTTAATGCGTTTTTTTGTTTGTTTTTTTTAACTTTTTGCATATATCTACTGCTTGCTAGCAGTAGATATATGCAAAAAACACAGAGGGTTTAGAAACCTTTTAACTCGATTGTTATCACACAGGAGCTAACAAGCCCCTGTTTGGTAGCATTTCGACAATTTTTTTATAACAACAAAGAGAACCTGTCACCTCCAATACAAGAGTTATAGCACAGCATTGTGCTAGCTCTCCTGTGACAGCTGAAATGGGAAGGCTGCGAGTGCAGCTCTCCCGTCTCAGTGTTTACACGAAGCAGAGCGGAGAACAAACATTCTCTGCTCTGTTCCCCGCTCTCCAGCCTGATTGAATGTGCCATGGTCCCGGGTCTCCCAGAAGAGCAGGGACCCCGAAAAACATGGCAGGGAGGGAGGCAGCCAGCAGTGATAGGCAGCCGGAGGTGGGGGCAGCTAGGACGGACAAGCAGGCTACTTACAAGTGATCTCTGCATTGCTGAGATCACTTGTACAAAACGAGCTGTAGCTTCCCCGCTATACATTATTTGCTTGCCCAAAGCAGGGCTAAATGTAGGGAAAAAAAATAGCCACCCGGCACTGCATGTCCCGGGCATCGGGCGATAGGAATCTCAAACTCCTGCCGCCCCTCTACTTCCTGCCGGGCCTCGATGGCCTTGTGGGAATTCCGGCCCTGGGTGGAAGGTTGGGAGATTAAGTGATAACCTTTATTTGTATACAAAGAACACTGCACTTTACTTTAAAGTGTATGTAAACCCAAACCAAGTGTTCATTGCTCATATGCCCTCTTGGTCTGATGAATATACCAGTGGAAGCATTTTGTTATATTGGTTTGATAAGTATAAAGGAAACCTGCTGATCTTTTCTGAAATTCTAAGCTGTCCTGTGTCCTCTGCACACTTTTGTGCTATCTCAGCAAGCTCTCCTTTTCCTTGTTGTAGAGATCTGAGAGTAGGAGTGGTTGAGTAGTTTAGCAAGACACTGAGTAGGGCTAACACCACTCAGCCTACAAAATACTACAACAGGGTTTATAAGCACATAAAACACAAAGAAATGTACATTTATTGCAGTGATGTTCATCTGTGCATATGGGGTTTTGTCAACAGTCAGGACTCCTTCACGCCATAGTGATCTGCTAAATACATGGGATCCATGCATTTAGTGACAGTACCACATACTTGCATTCCTATAGATTCTCAGTGGCACCCCAACCCGCCTCCCAGCGCCGCAATAACTTACGCTATGATTTAAAAAAAAAGTAGCTTATACATTACAGCTCTAGTGTTGCACTACAAGGCATGCCTGCTGGAATGTGCATTTGGGTGCCATTGAGAATCAATGGCAGTGCAGTGGCATGTGGTACCATGCACTAAATGCACAGATCACCTGCTTTTAGCACAACACAGACCTGGTCCTCTTGACACTTGAATAGAACAACATATACATAAAAAAGTGTGTATGTAATATAGTTATATAAAAATGAAATGTTTAAGTGTATTTTAGATGTAGGTACTTTAAAGCTGAACTCTGGCCAGCTTTCAAACAATGATCTGGGTGCACCACCCCTCCTTCCTTTGATGTTATCTTTTAATCCCACCACTCTGAATGCAGTCCACCTGAGATAATACTTCCCTTCCTCCCCTTATACAGAGATCTTTCTTCTGGTACAGTCCAGGCTCCTCATACAGCCCCATTCATTCCTATAGGCAAGTTATTTTCTGAGAGGCTGAGTTGAGAAGTTTGCTCATAGAGATAAATGGAGTTCTAAGGCCTGGTTCACACCTGTACGTTTTGTAGCGCGTTCAAAGCTCTACGAACGCTCAAACATGAAAATCCCATTGTTTTCTATGGGTATGGTTCACACCTTGCCGTATTTCAGCCCGTCTGAACGTACTACAAAATGGCCTACGCCTTAAAAGGTACATGAGCTTCTTTGCAGCGCGTTTCCATTGGGATACAGCCAAGCAGCCCACGGAAACGCACGTTTGTCACGCATTTTTTTTTGTCGACCGCAAATCGCGCGACAAACGCGCATATTAGATAAGCCTAGGTGTGAACAGAGCCTAAGGTTGTCTATAAGGTTTAGCTGGCTAAGAAAAATGAGTAGCTATTCTAAACTGTGGCAACTGAGGACTGTAGGTATAAGATCTAAATAACTGGACATGTTGGCAATGGTACCCTTGGAGGAATGCCCCCAGCAGGAACAAAATCTGCATAAGAGTATCAAAATAATGTTATCAATATTTAAACCTTTGAGCCATATTAAGAGAAAATCATCTGTAAAGACAATTGACTTACAGTATGTGTACTTGATTTCCCTGACTGAGTGGGTATTATCCTTAGAGATCATAGTACTCCCACACCACCCTGGGCAATGCCTTCATCTGCTTCCTTCTATAGAAGGATGGTGCCAGCTTTGTGATCACAAATGTCTGCTACAGATCAGCCACTCTCACAATGCACAGTCCGAATGATCACTGGGGAGATGCAGTCACTTTACTGAAGCACTTTTAATGATGAAAGCCCTGCTATATTGTTGCTGTATATTGCGGCACGCAAAGAATTTATGTAGACTTAGTTACTGAAAGATCCACAATATTTTTCCTGGAAGCTCTGTAGATTTAAAGAGAGCGCTGTTAAAGAAGGTTTTCCATAGGATAAAAATTATACCATATGATAAATTAAAGTGCTCACTTCGCAGAGGATGTACAGGGCATGTGCATAAAGCACTCCAATGAGAACTGTAAACATTTGTATGTGAATTCAAGGTTAGAGGACATGCCAGCAATGTTTACCATTTTGTTATAAGCTTATACTAGTAGAGCATTGTACCATGTTAGTCGTCAAATAATGCAGAAAGTTTGGAGTTTATTACCTTTTAAACCTTAAAGCCCAGTTCCACCCTTGTAAGTGATTTGTGTTTATTGTGGTAATCTAGAGGTACGGGGGTGATGTGCATGTGTGCATTGTCAGTGCTTTTATACTTTATTTAAGGGACTCCTTCATAGGCCGGAGTCCTAGAAATTCAAAATTCCCTCCACAGGATCATCAGTCTCTACAAGTTTCCAGTTGTGATCTGTAAGCTGCAATCAGCTGAGTCCTCTCTGCTCTGCTGAGCTCACTGTGCTGACCCCTTCTCATGAACAAGCACACTCGGCTCTGAGGAGAGATCAGTAGCTGTGACAGCATAGAGAAGAGATGAGAACTCCTCCCTGTGATTCATTACAACACATCTCCACATGGCTCTATGTATGCTCTGGAGGAACAATTTCCTCCACATGTTCTTAAGGTAAAACGACCTCTAAAGTTTGTTTTGCGTGTTCTCCCCTTCTCCAGGGCCAGCTTTAGTCTCTGCTGCCCCAAGGCCAGGTTCCTTATTGCACCACCCCACCATTCTCATCCCATGGCTTTTGCGTGTTCTACTAAACTAGTATCTACAAAGTCTATGGCCCTGGGTGGTTAGTAGGGCTGCAACAACTAATCGATTATAAAGCGATTGAAAAAGTTGTCAACTTTTTCAATAATCGATTAATCGGCTTCTGATCAGTTGGCCCTGTTCACGGCTCCACACGCTGCGCGCCCCACCTCCTCCCCAACTCACACTCAACGCTGCCAGACCCGCATCCACGCCGCACCGCCTTCCCGCCTCATCGAACTTAATAATCGGCTAACTAAATCGATTTTGAAAATAATAGTTAGCTGCAGCTCTAGTGGTTAGAATGTAATTCCAAATGTAACCGTCATATCTGATGGTTTAACAGCTAGCATAGGCTGAAAGCAAACGTCTCTGCATATTACAGAACTGTCATGAGTAATAAACCGCAAGTCAAGTCTAGTTTGCTATCCACCCGTGCTAGACATTCCACTAACATTCAGAACAAGGCGTTATGCTTGTACTCCACTGACATTCAGATCTAAAAGTGGGAGCATCTTCCAAAGTTGTTTTGTTGCCTATAATTTCTGTCCAAACAAACAAGCTGTTTATTTTTCTTCTTTATTCAAGTAATAAAAAGCAAGAACAGTCACATGTTATTACACAATAAAACCCTCTTCTGAGGAACTTTAATTCAGACCCCAAAAAGGACTCTGTACTGGAACGTTAGAAGCATCCCACAAACAGGATGAGGTATTATGGGATCCTTAAAAACACACAACCCCCCCACTGCCCAGCAGGTCGATGGCCCGTGTATGTCACATTAAAACCTGATTTTTCAGGAGTGCAGTTATTGGCCCACTCCTTAACACCCATTGGGAATAAGCCTTCCCACAGGCTTATAGTCTAGAATGATCAATGCCCTCTACCTTCCACATTGGAAGAAACTGTATATAAAGACTAGTATAGAATGGATTAAATAGAATGAAGCAGGCTTTCCAGTCAGTCTCAATTGCGCACTCAGCCAACTTGTCTCTGGACACAGTTGCAATCCTTCCCTCAGTCTAAAGTCAATGTTTAGCTTTTTTTTGGGGGGGGTGGCTGGCCATGTCAGACACTTGTTAGTGAATGACAACAGTAAGCGGGCAGTACAGACTCAACTCAGGAAGGATTTTTTTCAAAAGAGACAACTTGGCTGTGAACCTGCAGATGAGCTGACCAACCCACTAAAAACTGATGTGGAAGATGCAAAATGGATGGAATCTACTGGGTGGATCCAGCCCCCAATTCAATTCTTACAGTAGTCTTTAGTTTCACTGCCAGTCTCATTCAGAAGGGTTGTCCTGACCAGGGCCTCGGTAACAGCATAGGGGTCACAGTTGGCTGCTGGGCGGCGATCTTCGAAGTAGCCAAAGCCTTCCTGTCCAACCTGGCGTGGGATACGAATGCTGGCACCACGGTTCGCTACGCCAGCTGAGAACTCATGGATGCTGGAGGTTTCATGCTGCCCCGTTAGGCGGCGAGAGTTGTCCTTACCACCGCGTGGATCATAGAAACAGATGTGGTAGTTGTGGCGCTTGCCTAGTTTATCAATAGCATCTTCAATGTGTCTGGTGGGGCAAGAAGGAAATGGGTTAAATTTATGTCTGCATAGGTCATTGTATAAGCTCAAGTTGACACAAACATCTTATAATTTTAAAAAGCTCAGCAATTATTGGTCACTGCCAACACTTGGGACTCATGATTTAGTAAAAGTGCTATAGTGAACCAGAATTCCAGGTTGTGTGAACATCTAACATGCATGAAATGTGGTTTACCAAGTGTACAGGAATGCTACACTAGATCAGACTTACTGTAAATGCTAATAAAACCCTGGGAGCTACTTTTTTTTTTTATATCTGGACTCTTGATAAAAGGTAAAACATGAACAAAAATGAACAGTATTCCTAAACAATGGCCAATTTGAAGTTAGTCATGAGATTACCTTCTAGGCTGCCATTGCTGGCCTTCAGAAAATACTAGTTGCCTGTCTGTTACTCTATGAGCAAGCCCTAACAGGTGAAACGCATTAGCAGTAGAAGTTATGTGCATGTATACTACACTACGAGGTGGAACAAAACCTTTCCAGTGAAGAGCAGCTGTGTGCGCAATTGGGTTGGTTTAAAATGCCCATTTGTAAGAGTTACTGACAGAGTATGCAAGAAGTTAGAAAATCTGAATTTCCCCCCCCCCC